ACATCCAAACTCCATCAGATAGTTTACGTTTTTTGTGTCCACATCTTTGAAATTAAATGTGTATTTTATCCATGAATCACTTCTCAATTTGGACTAGCCATGTTTCAGGTGCTCAGCAGCCACATGTGGTTAGTGGCTAATGCATTGGAGAGTCCAGCTCTAGACAAAACTTTTCTTATTGATAAAAAGGATTTTAAATGGCTGCACATTAGCTCCTTTTTAGCCTTAAAACTATGTCTTGAGTTCTCTTGTGGACAGCAAATAAACACATGGCAAAATTATTTTGGAAACCACAAAATGATAGAATAATCTAGGAAACTGTTTTGAAAAAATTAGGCTTAGAAAAAGCATCCTCTTCCATACTTGCTATTTCAAATTGTTCTCTTCCTCTGGAATGCCATCTTTCTTTTCTCATATTTTGCCTACTGACCTAGTTGAAAATATTTGTGCTGTTTAATTTTCTTTAGATCTGTGCTGTCTAATATAGTAGCCCTACCTATATTGGATCATTGAGGACTTAAAATAATGCTAGTGTAACTGAGGAATTCTTAATTTTATTTAATTTTTGTTAATTTTAATTTAAAATTAATACTGGATTAAGTTAAGAAACTCTTAAGTACATTTGGAACATTTCAGAAGGTAAAGCTACTTTTTGAACTATACATTTCATGAAAACCAAATTCAAATGAAGTATTTCTGGTGAAAATTTAGCACCCAAATTGAGATTGCTGAAAGTATAAATAAAATACACACTGGATTTCATAGGCTTGGTGCAAGAATAAGAATATAAAATATCTCATTGACACATTTTTATATTGAATATATGTTGCAATGACAATATTTTGGATATGTTGGTTTAAATAAAATGTTATTAAAATTAATTTGACTTGTTTCTTTTTACTTTTTTAATGTGATGGTGCAGAGCTGGGGCTGGGTCTGGAGCTCACAGTCCCCTCAAGCCCATTGTACAGAGTGGGTCACAAACCCTTCACATGCAGGTCTATGAGCTAGGTAACCGGAAAAAAGGTCCTCGGAGCCTTGGTTGAGGCAAGAATAGTCTATTCAGCACACACATGTCTAAGAGCGAGGCAGTCCAAAGAGAAACTCAATTGCTACCAGCAAAGTCCAAAGAAAAAATGAGCAGTTGCTAGCAAAGTAAACATGCTCTATTTTTAGATGCAAACTGTGCCATCCAGCCCTGCCTCACAAACTCAAGAACACACAATAGCAACAAACTAAAAAGATACATGGGTGCACATGCACACTAACTCCACCCCCACACGACTTGTTTACAAAGAATGTGCTGCACAACACCCAACTGGACCTGAGGGAGAGGCCTGACTAAACTATTCTATTTTCTTCACAGAAGGCTTGAAAATTTTAAATTACATATGTGATTTGCTTTATATTTGTACTGGACAGTGCTGGCTTTGGGAATGTCTCAAACACTTAACTTGGAGAGTTATGGCTGAGAGTAGAACAGATTCCTAAAACCTGTAAATAATAACTGGTTTACAGATGGTCTCTTTCAAAAGTCACAGGATATAATGAAGTGCATCATAAATAAACATTAGCCATCATCAGAGCCAGCCTATCTTTCAATGTATTGCTCTGTGAAATATTTTTGCCTTTCTTGTTTCTGGGGTGTTTTTTTGTTTGTTTGTTTTTTCCCCCATTTATTGACATATTTTCAAGTGAATTAATAATTTTTTTTTTTTACCTTTTTGTCTTTTTTACTGACCGGTAACGGGATCGCAACCCTCGGTGTTGCGCCCGCACCGCGCCCAGCCAGAGAGCGAGAACCGGTCTCCACATGGGATCCGAACCCTCGGCGGGAGTGCCGCCGCGCTCCCAAGCAGCGCACTCTCCAGTGCACCACCGGGCCAGCCTGAATTAATAATTTTTAACAATGCCTTAATGGGACCTGAAATGTAAGCCTATAATTAGATTCTATGGGTAGAGGGAAAGAGCAGAGACTTACTAGCTTGTTGCATTTACTAAATTCCTCAGTGTTCAGTCAAAGTACTCATTTAGGATGTATTATAATTTCATACATCACAGATAACTAGACTTAATGTTATTTGAGATTTCAAAATGTTTTTAAATGATGAAAGCGGTATTCATACACTATGCTAACAGACTGTCAGCACACAAGAGACTAATTTAGACTGTGTCTTGGTTACTTTCATGGCCTCTAATGCTTCCGTGAAAGCATCTATTCACTGCACCATATCTGTCTTTCATCAGAATAAATTTGTCAGCCATTTCTAGGGAAGATAATATTTTAAAAAATTTCAAATATGCTATTTGTATTCCTTTGCTAATACAATCTATAAGCTTCTCCTTAGCTAGAAGCTGATCAATTCAAAAAGAATTTCTTAAGCACCTACTATGGGCTAAGTATGGTAGGTGGTGTAATCCATTTCCTTGAAACAACTAAAATTTACATGAATCATCCAAATTTGATGTATGTGACTCAGAAGAAGAGAGCAGAACTGGGGTTGCTAGAAGTGAGAAAAGGGAAGGGGGAGAGGAGATAGTGTGAGATGGTTAATGGACACAAAACAGCTAGATAGAAAAAATAAGTTTTAATGGTGTATAGTAGAGCTAGGCATCTATAATTAACAGTTATTTACTGCATATTATCAAATGGCTAGAAGAGAGTAGAACAAATGTCCTCATCACAAATAAATGATTACGTTTGGTAATGATGAATATGCTAATTACCCTGACTTAATCATAACACATTGTATACACATATTGAAATATAACTCTATACCCCACAAATATGTATAATCAATACATTTCAAGAATAACAATAAAAAAATGTGAAAACGTGAAAAGTTTAAACATCAGAACAAAGAAAGATATTACTACAATAAGTAATAATGTTCAAAAGTGTGCATATCATCAGGAAAACATAATTGATGTGAATATATTATAGTTTTCTAGGAGTTACCAATAAAGTGTGAGAGGAGATATGATCACATTTTTATAGGATAAGTATAGAATATTTGGCAGTGTAAACTGCCTCACAAAGAAAAGTTATTGTATCTTAAAATGACAGCCTTAATGTTTAGTTCTGTTGTTTTAATATGACAAAAATTAGCTTAACAGTTAAAAAAGAGATAAAATACTAAGCTAGGTTTTACTGGACTTAATCAGAAGACCTCCAAGTATTATAATATCAAACTGTTTGTTGCCTTTGAAAATTAGATTGCAATTAGGTTTTTGGTTTGCATTTTATGTTAATGAAGATCCTGTCTGTAATAGCTTCTTGTTACATTTTACAATGAACTTTATGGCTAGGTTAGTATTTGATTTTTTTATTCAAATAGCAAATTTTGGAATAAGAAGCAATTTCTCAAGATTTAGGGGAATGCAGAAGAGAGATTGGGATTTTAATTGTACTGTTTTTGTTATCGTGGGATGCTCCAGGCAGTTAGAGTTTCTCAAAAATTTTAAGCTAAAAGGATATACGGTAGTGACTCATCTCTTATAATAAATTTTGGATGAGATATAACTAGTAAGTTGACTAGTGTTTTAAACATTACACATATTTTATTAACTGACTTCATTTCCTAAAAAATCATAAACTTGTACTTTTCTCTGTTGAAAAGTAGGTAACGCCAGGCCCTTCGTGACAGGACCAGATAGTAGGTTGGTGCAGGATGTTCCTTTGATACAGGATATTCCACAGAACCAAATTTAATATCTCTTCAGATGGAAGAAAAACAAGTATTGCATTATATCTTATTATTTGAATGAAAAAACTGCTTCTCAGGAAATTCTTTAGAGTAGAGAAATCCAGGGGGGGAAGGGAGGTTGGAAATTGTTTGGTACATGGCAGCTAAACCCTGGATAATGAGGAAAATATTGCCTTGTAGACGAGTGCCCAAGATCAAATCTCTAGAAATAATCAGTCATCCCAGACAAGCTGGGTCCTACTGTACTTACCTTTATATGTTGCTTATTCTCAATAATTTTTCATATGCATTGATATTTAAGGGCATGCATAGTTTTAACTCTATGTATATTAGAAATCTCTGTTTGAAAAGAGAAATGAAGATGAATTTTCATTGCAACACATGTTTGAGTGAGAATACTCTTAAATAGGTATGAGCTATTAGAAATAGCGTTATGAAATAAAATATTCAAACAGCATTAGACAGTAAAATTTTCAATGAAGGTGTGATTGTAAGAGCAGAGTGGAGTACTATCTCTGTTAGAAAAAAATTTTTAAATATTTATATTGTTTTCTTTTTACTATACTGTACTTGATAAAGAATTTGACAATGCTTTAAAAAAAATACCTAAATCGCAATGAATAAGATAAATCATTGAGGAAGATGGTAAGGCAGGAAAATCATCAAGACAGTGATGATAATGAATTGATGACAATAATGGTGACATGTTTATTCAGTGTGTACTCACTGACAGGCACTGTTTAAACATGTTTTATGTAGAAACTCATTTAATCCCACAGTAACCTGAGATAGTAGAAACGTGTAACAGATGAAGAGAAATTAAGGTGCATGTTCCAAGTCACAGAGCTAAAGAGGTAGAACCCCTGTTCGAAATCTGCCAATTGGCTTTGAGCCTAGGCTCTGGGTCACAGAGCTCCTTGCCTTCTCTGTGGAACCAGCATGTAGAATCACATACACATTTTACAGGGTGCCACATATTTGGTTCTAAGAATTTTAGCAGATAAACCAAAGTATAAACACAATTATAGTGTCCATATGATAAAAATATGAATCATTCTGAGGATAAAGTGAAATAATTTATTGACACATTTGAAATCGCCTCACCTCACCACATATTGAATCATACAGTGAGTCAAATTATATCCCCATATCAATAATGGGATATAGCTCTTCAAAGTATCCACACCTCTGAACAGCAGCAGTTTAGTACAATTTTGGTGTATCAAAAAGAAGTTTCCTTTTCAGTATCTCCAGACGTAACAGTGTGGCTCATGGAGCTGTTGGAGGAGTCACATGTCTGCACGAGGAAAACGCAGTCGTGTTTTGCCAGCTCGGTTTGCAGCCAAACCTTTCAGCCTGCAGACCTTTGGCACTTTTGGCATGCAGGCCAGAGGGTGCTTCAGAAAGTTGCACATCTTGGGTAAGAGTGGCAGCAGAAAGTTGGACCAGGAATGATTGAGATGGATAAATTTGAACATGCAGTCAAGTGCCGAATCTTAATATGTTGATAAATCGGTATATGAAAGGATATCAATTTTTCATGCACACTCTATCCAAAGAATTTACCCAACATGGTTCAAATGCTGAATTATAATTGCTTCCTCCAGAAGAGGGAGATTCAGCATCTATGTATGGTAAGCCAATGAACCCAAGCCCAGGGCCGAAGCTACCCTGTCTTTTGAAGGAGAACTTAGGCAAACTCTGGTATGGTGTCAAGGGGAGCTGTGGCTGTTATTCCACCAGAGTATTTTTTTGTAACTAAACAATAAACTACCTTGGCATTGTTTTAGGGGGGCATTATATCAAAGATTATTTTTTTCTTTCTCTCTCTCTCTTTTGTGACTGATAACAAGAGAGAAGCACTATCAACCACATAGCTATTGGTTTAATTTGGATATTAATTTACTTATAGTTTGATTTGGCCACTTGAAATGAAGTATTATCTCTGAGGCCACAATGTGAAAGATGCTGTTGTAAAGGACCTTTGAGTCATAAAATCTCCACTTGTTTTGCCAGGTAATTAATCTGATGTTCAATGAATCTCCCACTGCCCAAAGACCTCTGTAATCCTGAGATGAAACATTTTGTGTTTGCAGATACTTGATGTAGTGGTGCCTCTGCCAGTCAATCAGTAACAAATAATAGTATAGCCAAGCAAGACAAGCAAGATTTGTGTCTGGTTTGTGCAATGGTAAACCTGTGGTGCCAGCTGTCTGCCAGAAACTCCTCCTAAAAACTCAGATATAGTGAGCAATAATCAGTTCATTAAAAAATGAAACAGCCAAGAACCATATAATAATTAACGTAATTTTTATAGTAATTAAAAACACTTGCTGGTGCATGTGTTTCCCCAGCACAGTCCACCAGCTGCCAGAGATGTAGTTGAGCTAGGGTTTCCCTGTGTATAACTCCAGGGAGCAACATTTACATAAGCTATAGTGTGCATGGCGCCCCCTAGAGTTGGGTAATATGGTATCTCTGCAATTCATACATTTACCCTTTTCACAGTATCCTATTATTATTCGACTCATGTTTCTGTCCCTACTCTCCTGTAAACTCCTTTGGAACATGTTTATTATCTTGATCTTCACATTCCCAGTCCCTAGATTGCCTATTGCATAGGAAAAGTATTTTTTTAACTTGTTCATTGAATTGAATAAAAGTGTAAATAAATTTTGTAAAGCCAAAGATTTTTAGCTTTTTATGTTTAAACAAGAACTTCCCCAAAATACTATTTATATTGCTATGTCAGCTTAGTCATCACATTGTAATAGTTAGGAATCTTCTGGATGCACATGAAAGAAGCCCAAACCAAACAGGTTTAAGTCAAAAGAAATAAGTGAATTTACTGGTTCCTATAACAGACTCCCAGAATTAGACCCATCTGGCTCCAGTCACAGCCAGATCCATCAACCTAAATGATGACCTGAACACATTCTGTCAACATTTTTCAGCTCCACCTTTCTCTGTGTTGCTTCCTACAAGCTTGCTCTTTCTGTCCCACATCAAGGTGGCCTCTCACAGAGGCCAGTCCTTTTACCAAACATTCTCTTTCCATTAAGACAAAATCCCAATTTTATTTTAATTACACTTCCATGGGCCATGTGCTCATCCTGAACCAGTAACTGTGGTGGAGGACTGGAAGGCGCTAATGGCCTCCGAGTGTCAGAGATATTTCAAAACAATAAGAAATAGAAGATAGGAAAAGAAAACAAAACGTTTCAACTGCATTATCCCCCATTTAGCAGATAGTGAAACTAAGGCTCAGATAAGATGTGTCTTGACAATGTAGGTTTTCTGATACTGAATCTAGTATGTTTTTTACATGACCTCTCATTCATTCCTGGCAGTTTCAGGTTTGCAGGTAATCAGCAATAAAGATTTTTTTTTTTCAGACTTGTAGCATGAGCCTCTGAGAATACTGAAGAACCTAAATTAGTGAATGGACAAACTGATAGTGAGAATCATGAGAATATTTTTTGAGTTTTTGTTTCAGTAGGTGTTGCTTTGCCCCCCATGGATTTGTCACCCCACTTCCCCTGGGTGATGGAGATGCAAAGGATTACTCAAAGCCCATCTCTTCTGAGCAGTGAGAGACCCCGAAGTGGTTAATCTCCCACCAGAACCCTCAAGCAAGAGGCATCCCTTCCTTGGGAAATTAACCCCAAATTGGGGTTCTCTTCCTGCATTTATTTTCCAGACCAGGAAGTTACAGGAAGAGAACATAGGTGGGGTTCTCCTGTATATTGATAAACTACAGTTTGTCAATATAGGCTGGTAACTTTCAGTGAAACAAGCCAGATGACATTCCATTAGACAAGTAAGTGATCTTACAGCAATTCCTCAGTATCTTTACATAACAGTCAGTAACTAGTCTGTCTTTGAACCAGGAACCTTGCTGTGCCACTAATCTTTATCTTACAACAGAGACTTCGTAGCCTGAGGAAAATTTCCAGTCCTCTGCATGGTCAATATTTGAAACTGCAAGGCTTTGGAAAACCAGGCCCTGTGAAGTACATTTGCTTTACAGTATATTCTACAAGTAGGAATCAGCTCGATTTCCCAATTTATGAAAAGATGCAGCCTGATTTTCCTGAGAGATCATATAAGTACAAGCTTTCCCTGAAGCACTGGTAGTGATTTGAACAGAAACAATCAAATTCAAATGGCTGCCTGGTTTCTCTGCACTCCTGACTATTGAAAGCATTTTGTTTGCTTTAATTTGGATGTGGTTCTGGTTTTGGTGGGAGCAAAGCGACACTTTGGCCTGAGGGAGTGTGTGTGTTTTCAAGTGTCATAGGCATTCGAACTGCCAGCAGCCCACACTGCACAGGAGACATTTTCATGAATGCTGCATGATTCTGTGTCCACATCTGCACAGAGCTGCATATCCTTGATGACCACATTTCATTTTAGCTTAGTTTTGATTACTTTTTAATTCACTTTTTGTGGTAGTCCATCTTGAAGGTAAGAAAAGGGTAGTGATTTCACAAGAACTTAAGTTGAACCCGTGCAGAGGAAGAGGGAGTTAGGGGATCTGCCCTGAAATCAACCTGCTTATTTAAGTAGATTTGAAGAAAAACAGAGCATGCAAACAACAAATCAGCCTGATTTATCTAAGAGGAGTGGATAAAATAGTCACTGCAGGAGGAAACATGCAACCAAATCCAGTAGTTTATCATATCTTCATGAAACCTTGAAATAGCTCAATGAATTTATATTGTTTCCAAAAGACATGTGAGCCAGGCTGTCTTATCCTGCCCTACTGTGAACCCTGAAATCAATCCATTGCTCTCTCAAACTTTGGGAAAATGATATGCTGCTAATGTCAATGAACTGGTTGCATTCACAGAATGTGTTTTCACTCCCCGAGTTTACTGAAGTGGAAGACGGGAAGGATATGCCTTTCTGAAAATGATCATCTGTGCTCAAAGACCTATTTTTTCTAGAGATGAGAGCATTTCAGATAAAACGCCTCCTTAACATGAGAAAACCTTGTTATCCTTCCTTTCCACAAGTCATTTGACTCCTTTATATTTGCAAAGATTGTCAATTCCTATTTCTTTTTTGGAGGTTTGATAAAACAGAGGCCTTGTAGAAAGGAAAATGGATACTGTTCAAAGAAATTCACCTCCTGTAACAAGAGGCCAGAGCTGGTGCCTCTGTGTTTCTGTCTTTCCACACTTCACCATCCTCTGCCTCAGCTTACATTAGTTCATAGTCATTGCTTCATACTATAGATATTCTGAAGAAGCACATTATAGGCAGATAAAATGCAAGTTTAGATTTCTGGCTTATGAGCAACAGTGAAAGGTGATTAAATATTGCAGTTGAATTGCACCGCTTAGTCTTTTTCTTCTATTCTTTTTGCAGATTGTCTTAGTTTTTAACAATACCTTACTCTGTGGAACAGTTAACAGTTTTCAAATTGGTTATACATATTCTTTGCCACTTATGTTTTGTTGTTTCTCTCCATATTGTGGACAATGATTTGCTGTCTTTTTCTTTTAACTTATGGAATAGCTTTCACGGGTAATTGAAAACAGGTTTTATAAATGTGTTGGTTGAATAAAATAGAAAGTAATCCAAATAAAAGAGCAATAAGAATATATCATTCTGATCTCTGAAGACACCAGTAAATATGTTATGTATACGCTTATGTATTGAAAAAGTAGTATGTGTATAATCCTTATTTTGACCTATAACTAATAAATAGATGTTCCACGAGAAACTCCACAGAGCTGATTACTCATCAGGTTGTTCTCTAAGCTATGTGCTGAGTGTTAGTCAAAGGAAATTTCTGCTACTTATTAGCTGTGTGACTCTTGGGCAAGTTAATTGACTACTCTTTGTTTTTTCATCTTTAGAATGGAGATAATGATACTATCTATGGTGCTATTGAGGGAATTAAATGAGGGAATATATCTAAAGTCCTTAGTGGGGTACCTGGCGTTTTGTAAGTGCTTTATCAGTATTTATTATTTTTTTATAGTGGTTCCAATGTTGTTGCTAACCATAGTACTATAAGAGAATTGTCTTCATGAGCAAGTTTTCATGTTGTAGGACGCAGTGTCATGTACAAAGCAGTCAGGCTTACAAAGCCAGAAGGACTTAGATTCCTTTCCTGGCTCTTCCATTAAGCAAATGGATAGGCTTGTGAAACACACTCAAACTTTCAAAACCTAAGTTTTCATCTATGATAAACATAGGAGCTTTAAAAAGTCATGTCCCACAGGGTAGATGAAAAATGAGAAGCCAATATTATTAAATAATATAGAAAAAAAATGGCTTCATTAAGAAAACTTCCCTCACTTCCTCTTAGAAAATGTATGAGTAGCAGTTACTAAACTTAGAAAACACTTCTCTGGTGTTAAAGTGATGATGGAGCCCATCATTAAATCTCATGCAATTTTTTGCCCT